TACAGTTGATTTATTCTTAGAATGAATTCTCGATTTGAATTATTTTCAACGAAAATTTTATATGAAATATTTGATTATTTATCAACTTATGATGTATTTCATGCTTTTATTAATCTCAATTATCGTTTAAATTATAGTATTAATATATATCCATTAAAAGTTGATTTACGAAATATTTCTCGATTAAAATTTGATTATATTTGTTATTATCTTCGACCTGAACAAGTCATATCACTTATATTCTCGGACGATAATATGAGTGACCAAGTTATTGTTTTTCAACGATATTTTCTATATTTTAAATATCAATTTATTAATCTTCGTTGTATAAAATTTATTCGAACAGATGATATTCTATTTGATTTACCATATTCAGTTTCAGCTCTTACATTCCAAGGTTGCATGTATGTTAGTCAACGTATTGTTGAAACTATTGTAAAACAAGCCAAATCTTTAACTTATTTGAAAGTTGATTGTATTCATTTATTGCAATCAATTGATATTACATTTCCTTCTCTCACTTATTTACATATTTGTGATGTTGGAATGAAAATTTTCTGTTGTTTTTTAAAAGAAAATGAATCATCTTTCAACGATTATCATTTATCAATTAAAAATCTTCGTTCACCAATCCAACATTTAAAACTTTCTATTGAAAATAAAAATTTTATAGACTATAATTCAATATTTAATTTTGATTATTTATCTCATTGTCTGACAAATCTTACATTGATTTGTTTAATAAATAAAACTTTTTCATTTGAATTCATTCAACATTATCTTATTCAATTATTAAATTTAAAATCTTTAACAATTATTATCAAATTAGATTTAATTGATGGTAAACAATGGGAAGAATTTATTCGAAAAACAAAAATTATTAAATTTAATTTTCAATTTATACTATCCGAAAGTATTACATTTACTCAAAATAAATCTATATTACTTGATTCATTTCGATCAGTATTTTGGCTTAAAGAAAAATATTGGTATGTTGCATGTAATAAACATCGTTCGAATCAAAATACACAAATATATGTCTATTCTATACCTAAATTTCTACCGACATGTATTAATTATACTAAAGATTATTATCCACCTTTATCAACAGTACCATCAAATGATGAACAACGAATATTTTACTCGAAATATATTGAACATTTATGCTTGGATTTTAATAAATCCATTGATGATCTACCACGAAATTACCGTTTTAGTCACGTAAATTCACTTAATCTTATTGGTTCAACATTACCATCAATAGATAATATTATGTCTATTGTTGATCTTAATCAAATAAAAGAACTTGATATATCACATATTAAGAATATATCAATTGGTGAAATTCATTTATTACTTGAACATATTCCTAATTTAAATCATCTGATATTTAAAAATTTTATACCATTATTTAAACCACCTTCACATATTTATTCATTTACAATTGAAAAATGGAAACTTTCGGATGACTTGAATTTATTTTGTCGTATGTTTCCACATGTTAAATCTTTAAAAATATATATAAATTCACTTGAAATGATGATTGAATTAATTAATCGATTGAAATATCTTGAAAGTATTCTTGTTTGGTACAATTTTGAAAAACATGTACCTTTCATTTCAATGAATTGGTTACGACGAAATATACCACGTCTACGACGAAAGAAATTTACATGTAAAGAAGATGATTATTATATGATCATATCTATTGGAAATAATCGAAAAAAAAAACTCTCAAGTTTTTGATCAAATTTTAATATAACATGTTTCTTGTTGTATAAGAATTATCTAAAATAAATTTTCGAATGTTGTCGTTTGAATGATGCAACTTACGTTATCTTTCAAAAGTTAATTTTAGTTTATCTCATGTAATGTTTTCGAATTATGAATAACGATGCATCAGATGTGATTTTTATAAAATCTGATGAATATAAGAGAAATGTATTATAACGGGTGAGTCATAATAAATGAGTCTTTCAGTATTTTATTTATGTGGAAAGTTAAGGAAAAAAATTAAATAAAGATTATCCAACTAACTTTCAAAGCTAACGGGTGTCTCATGAATAACTTGTGTTTATATCTCTTACTTCTATCATCTAGTAGGTTTATTTTAAAATCATCAGATGCAGCGTGAAAAGTTCTACAAGTTTCATTGAAGACCTTATTATACATACGCCTGAAAAAAATAAGTTTTTGTCTGTATTTTGTACATATTTGCCTTTCCGTCTGAATAAATATATTACCAAAAAAAATGCGTTTAACGAAGGCACCCTCATGTCCAGATTTCCACAGACTTGATTTTGTCACTGCCACCAAGATTAGTTTTTAGAATTTTTCATCACTATAGAATTATCTTCTAGAAAAAATTATTATGTATTCTCATAGAGCTTGAAATGCTCTATCACCTTGTCTATTTTTTTTATTTCCTTATATTAATTTATCGAAAAGAAAATTTGACTACAATGAAAGCATCGTCCATTAACAAGTACGAACAATGGGCGTTTCCTGTTGCTTGTAGAGTTTCATCTTTAAATTTATTATTCTTATGAAGAAGTTTATTTTTGAAAAGCAATCATAGATTCTTCTAGAGCTTAAAATTCTCTATCATCCTGTACATTTATATTAACTCTTTTGCATTTATGTGCTAGAGAATAATTCGAGTCTTACATTGACATGCTCCTTAGCAAGGTCTAGAAGGAAGCAACTTTTTTACTACATATCTCGTTTTGTGTTTCAAAAGTACACGACGATAGAGAATTTCAAGCTCTCTCAGAATATCTAATTTCTTGCTTCAAAAGTTATTCTTTTATTAACAATAAAGTTGGAATGAAAAGAAACATATTACTAAAAAATAATTCAGTTGGGGGTGTAAAAAAAGAGAGCACCCACACCCACACCTCAAGATTGATGATGAGTGATATAGCCGTGCATTTCAATTTATTTCCAACCATAATCTCGTCTAATTGGCACCTAATTGGCTCGAATAGTTTGTATATTGTTCTCTCTTTTTTTCCATTTACTATTCTTGATGATGAAACATAATACGAGTCAAACAAGTGAATAGAAAAATAATGTAGTTTTTGCTGTAAATCAACAATGATATTCGTATGAAACTTAGGATCATTAATTCCCATTTATCTTCATTTCTCTTTGAACTGAATAATCTACCTATGCTCATTCATCAAGTTACTTTTACGCAGGATTGTCAAATCTCTTGATTTGACCAGGAGACTCCTGCTTTTTGGACTTTTCTCGTGAGGGATGTAATGTTCTCTTTATTTACAATTCATAGTATGTTTCATTCGAGACAAGTATACAAAGAAAATTATTGTGTCGAAATTTTCATAATCAAAAAAAATAAAAATGTAATGTCTAGGAAAGAATTGGTTGTTCGATATATTCCTGCGCCTTCTTTTTCATAAGTAAATCACTATGCATCCGATCGGTATTATTGAAAAAACTTTCACTCAATTGTTCATCGAAGAACTAGGTAGAAAAAATCGAAATTGCTTTCTTTTCATTGTCGAATAGTTCTTCAATATAAACAATATTTCGTCTTCGATCATTACTAAGAAGACGTTCAAAATAGGTCGACTGAAGATTATTTTGCCGAGCTGTTCGAGCACTGATGATAAGTACTTTTAGTGTTGGATCTTGTCGATCGATATTATGTTCTTTCAATCAATGTCGAATAATACGATGCATTAAATCCAACTGAGTGATGGCGGCTGCGTCTAACAGAGCGAAAAAGTGATTTGAGAATTGTCGACAGAAAATCGTCAGACGAGTTTGATCGATTGATCCTTTATTGTCAATCTCTTGCCGAATTGGTGTCTGAGACTCACGAATAATTTCGAGAGCTAATGTACGTTCGTGCAGTCCGACTGAATCTGGTAACTGAAGGTTATGTAACTTTTCCCAGTATTGTTCAAGTGTGTTCTTGGATAAAGCGGAGGAGTTATCAGTAAGAAACGAGTTCCGTTGTGAATAAGAGTAAGAGAACTACCATTTGCGATGATGACTGTACCATTTTTTATTTTTGAACGCCAAAAATTATCACGACCTTTCATATATTGATTACGAAATTCTTTATCGAGCTCTTGCAATGGTGTTAAAGTTGGTTTAGTTATTTTTGTCTTTGTTCGTCGAAACAGGAAGTATGTACTAACAGCAAAACAGATTAGTGCTGATTCGATGAAAGAAAGAATATTAGAAAACTTTTCGAGTGTTAGCAAATTAAACATGACGAAATTACTTCTTCTTTTTAGGTGAGCGTGTCAATGAATAAAGAAAAAAGCCTATTTACAAAATATATATTTACCATTTGTGTTTATCAACTATTTCACATGACGCAGGGTGTTTTCGTATATTTACTATTTCTAGTTGAAGAGAGCAGAAAAAGACGCGCAATAAACTGATTTTACTCTAATTTCTATTGTGCCCTATTTTCTACATCATTGTTTTTCCAAGAGTTAACTGTTTAACTAGTGATATGCATGCGACTGATTTTTAAAGAAGATTTTCTTGAGACGAGTTGATAAGATATATAGTTTGTGTGAATTCGAATACTCCAGAAACACTTTTACTCTTGAGAAAAAAAAACGTTTAAAAATGTGTCAGATTATACCAATATACTTATTTTTCTGTTTCATATTTGATTATCTTCTCGTTTCTGTTGCTCTCTTCAGAACGTGGGTCAGTTTATCTTTTAACTCATTCTATTGATGTGTTATCAATTTCTTGTGAAAGTAAAAAGGACAAAGAAAAACGCAATTTAAAATACCCACCCTTTATTCGTTTGTATAGTAACGTCATCTGAACGATCAAGACAGTCAGGATTAAGATGATCATCTTTACATAGACTTTTTTGGAATACATTGTCCTTGATGACAATGATATTCATCTGTATTATTACATTCATTCATTTTCAAAACGAAACAAAATGTTCACAACATGTTTTTACAAAATTTATAAGATCTTTTTGTAATAGCTGATATTTATTATTTTGTTGTATCTTCAATTAACATAACTAATCTTAAATCAAAATTATATTCATAAAAATTTTCAAACAATGGTGAAGTACAATTATAAAATATATCAGATTTTTCTGATATTAATCGACTATTATCATTATCAAGAAAAATTTGATAACGTTCGATAAGATCAATCGATGCTGATCATCAGAGTAGTTGTTGAATAGTACTATTCATTGATCTTAATTCTTCAAATGTGAGTTTTTTACATTGTACATATTGTTCAAATTGACTATCAGAGAAAGATCATTTTCAACTCTTGGATGTTGACATTAAACAATTGTTTGACTGGGTTGATTTAACATATCATCATAGATCACAATATTATCGAGTACTGTATGATGTAAGCAATCGGATTGCAAAGGAAATATCGATGATAAATTATTTAATTTCCAATCGCTGTCATAAAGATTTAACTGACAATTAATCATCAACATCAAAAACAGTAAGATACAAAATAGTTTAACTAGGAATAATATCTTTCAAATGATGAGAACAAAGTAAAAACAATGATTATCTAAAACTATTGTTAGTTTTTTTTCATTGTTTATAGAACGTGATCAGTATTATTTTATACACTTTGCTCCTGTACGTGATAGTTTCTTTCTTATCTGTTATTATGACAAATGTTGATCATACCAAACTATATTATCCGATGTCTAAGTTAATCAATCAAAAACTATACACCAATATTCAAAGAAAAAGAAAACAACACAATCAATTTTCGACATTTAGGGTGTAGATATGGATATGGGTGTACATTTGGTTCCGCAAAGAATCATCACCTACTCTGATATCTACATTGATCATTAACCTATGGAAAATTGTACGTGTTTTATTCAACGCTCTTCATCTATGACTGCTGGTGGTGCGCCCTTTTATGTAGTTAAAGATTTTTTATTGATGAAAGCTCTCTTTCCATTAGCAGCTCTCGGCTTGATAGGAAATGATAGTAACGACAAATGGTTAATAGAAGAATGTATAGAATCTAATGTCGATACAAGTCAATTACAAATTATGCATGATACTATTCCAACATCTTGCACATATGTCATGCATGTCGAAAATACTAATCAACGAATATTCTTTCATTGAACTATATCAATTGATTGAAGATAATGAACGAACCGTTGGATCAAAAGTACTAGAAGCTGCAAAATTGTCAGAAAAGAAAACCATTGTGAATTTTCCTAGTAGTAACAATCCAAATTATTTGAAAATTGCTAATGCATCGTTACTATTAATTGATCATTTGATTATTAATGAAACAGAAACTGAATTAATTCCAGGTAAGCATTTAAGAAGTGAGAATATTGTAGAAGTCGCTAAATACCTCATCGATATGGTTGTTAGAAAAATGCCAACTATCCATTTTGAAGAAGGAGTAAATTTGATCACGAAGGACGGTAAAATTTTATAGCAAGGATCAATTATTCTGCTAGCTGACTTTATTAAAGGTGCTATTGGTACTGGAGATGCATTTGTAGCTGGGATGATTTATGGTATTCATGAATAATGACTCTTTGGTAAAACATTACATTTGGCTGTTTGTGTTGGTAACATGTCACTGAGTGATGAAAGCTCACCTGGTGGAGTAAAAACTATCAATGAATGTTTTTGTCTGAGAAAATTCGATTTCAGACAACTATGATCCATAATCATTATTGAATTTATAAGGATGATCATGACTTTGAATAAACAATCTTAACATAGAATAATATCTTTATTTAGAACGACACGAGACTGACCGTAAAACGTTAAAAAAGTAATTTCTTCTAAGAAACAGAGTCGAATTTTTACTGAGATAATGCAGTGTTTTCTTGAATTGTTCATCAGCATCACTCTCAGTTAATAGATTCTTTTGAACATCTGAGAATGATCTCTTTTTAATACAACTAAGATCCAATAAGAGATCAATAATAGTCTTTGTATCATGCCATGATCTATTCTTTGTATGATGCACAGGAGTATTATTAATAAGCGCTGTGACATGTTCATGCAATGCTAATAAAGACACAACATTATTTTGAGCAAGTCGAACTAATAGTTTGAATATGGACAAAAATGATTGAAATTTTTCTCGTACCATGTTAAATCAAGTGATTGAAATATCATTTCAATAATATCTCGATCGGATATATGATGAATATGATCAAGACACTTCCATCCATCTCCACTTGCAACATATTTGTGAGCATATTCAGCTACTTCATTACTACTTTCAACAGAGTCAATCCATTTTAACATATCAATAAGATCATGGGTAACACCAGCAAATATAGCGTATAAAGGTGCTAAAGTTTTACGATGTGACGGATCATTCATATGATAGAAGTAAACGATATATTCTTTTCTAAATTTCTCTTCACCAAAAGAACTATTTTGTAGAACATCACGAAATATATCATAATGCATTTTACAAAGTTCCAGTGCTACATTAACATAATTAGATGTAGGATCAGCAAGATAATCAATATTTTCCTTGTTACATAAATAATTATAAAGATCATTGACCACTATATCGACAAATTCAGTATTTAGTTTTGTACCGCGATGAAAGGTATGGGGGTGTGGGTATGAGCATTGCTACTCTTGTCCTTTACATCCACACTCGCACCCTGCAAATGCTGAAGTCTAAAACAAAGCATTCATAGATAATGCAAAAAATCAATTGTAACTGCCTCCAATATCTTTGGTCGGTACTTCTATTGCGAGGAAGGGATGAAGAAGAGGTTTATTTCGTATAAATACCACAATGTTGTAGATCGTTAATACAATATAAAGGATTGGGATTGGAAATGAAACTACAGCGATTAGTTTCATATAAAAACTTCAAATAGTAAAGATAATGCAAAGAAGAACGAAACTTAATATTGCAGATCGATTTAGTAAAACCCATCCATCACGCATATAAATCTTCTTTCTAGCATTTGTTTGATAAATGATTCCATTCACATTTTTTGCGACAAAATTATAGTAAGCGGCATAGGTTCTGCGAACGAAGCGCGACCCTCTTGTTACATCTATTATTTGGTTTAACTCAAATAGTGTGTCCCTCTTGATGCCCACAATACCATGATTTTCGATGATAGATATATCGAGATTAGTGTCTTGATATAGCTTGGTCGTCATGTTTTTAACTTATCTCGCTTTCTTCTTTAAATTTAAGTTTCAAGCAAGAGTGAATAAGTTTTTTATAAATGTACTTCCACTGTTGGATTTTACCAACTTAATCAGTGACTAATGCAACGAAAATCTAACATACTCTGTTCGAAAAACAAATAAGCAAATAGTTTACGGACAACTCTGTGTTTTTTATTCTTCACGAAGATTCGTTTAATTTCTTTCAAGAACAAGCTAAACTGGTTACATCCGATTTATTCGCATGTTTTTTGCTTCTTATGGAGAACATATTTCAGATATTTTTGAGTCCATTTTACAAAGAAGAAAATGTTTGCTACTCGTCTTTCTCCTTCAAATCTGAACAAAAATATTTTTTTCTTCCATTCAAAATAATTTGGCTTTTACTGATTTGGATAATATGGTATTAGGGATATGAATTTAAATATTCATATGTCACATTTGTTAAGTAATTCTTACATACACAATTTAATTTAATAAAAAAAAAGAGATATTTTGGCGTATGACTGTACTGTATAGAAAGAGATAACACACATACCCACACCATACAATACTCAAATTCTTTTAAATACGAGCTCCATTATCGCTGATATACTTAATTCAGTTGCATTGATCGATGAATATAATTAATCAACGTTATGTTTTCATCTGGTGCATACAAATGTATTCAGAAATATCTGTAAAGTCGAATTCGAAAAATAGTTCATTGACTATTAGTCATCTACTTTTTCATGTATTTTAGCAAATATTTCAAAGTCTTCTAATTCTACCAGCTAGTTTTGTGTGGTGTTTTTCATCATAATCAATGCCAGTCAAGAATATGAAGTATTAATAAATCATCTTATTTTCTTTGGAAAGAACTGCAGTTATTAAAATATATCATGACATATCAATTAGAGTTACTGCAGAAAATTTCTAAGATCAAGCCACAGATGTAAATAGTTGTTATATTCTGTTTGCTTTTTAAGCATTTTTTCGTTGACTGTCAAGACTAAACTCAGCATAGTTGAATTAAAAGTAATGACTGTGTAAATACGATTATTGAAAAAGAAAAAGCTCAGTACGCGCCATTTTTTCATTATTATTCTTTTTACGTTTTTTTTCCTTTACATATGCATTTTGACTACAGTGTGTGTTGGTGCGATACCCTACTTCCTATGCTGTTTCATGTTCTTAGATTTTTTTAAAGTGTTTTTTTTCTCTTTCTTATGAGAATAAGAGAAAACAAATATTATCCATTCGCTGATTTTCATTTTAGTGATGATTAGCAACCTAACTTTTGTTGACTCGATTGAAGGGATGGACATATGAAATTAAATGGTTTGCTTGCTTACTTGTTTGTGATAAAAAAGAATTCAGCGGAATTTTATTTATTAACTCTTCTTGCGCTTTTCAAGCAACTCTGTTATTAAAGGTTATTGAAGGGGAGCAATGCAAATCCGATATTAGCTCTCTGAAACTTTGAATTAAGTTTTTTTCTATGAAGGAAAGGGTGTGGGTGTGGATGTGGGTGGGTGGTGTGGTGTGGTTTGATGTGAGTGAGAAAAAAAGACATAAACACCTACAGTCAGTCACCCACACCCACACCCACACTCACCCACACCTACACCTACAGTCACATCCACACCCACACCCACACACCTACACCTGTATCAAAAATCATGGTGAGAAAAGAAATAGATGTAATGTAATGAATAGTTCTTATTCATCCAAACTTATCAACTCAACAGTAGTAAAGAGGCAGACAGTAGCGAAAAGCTCTTGATGGAATAGTATCCCATCGAAACAAAAAGAAAAAGAAAAGTGCAGGCTGAATTTTTTTTTGCGTTCCTTCATTTACACTCATTAGTGTGTGTATTTCTTTCGTTTGTTTGTTCTTTATTAATGTACTTTTTTGTTGATTTTTCTTGTTTGTCACAATTGCATCTTCAGAAGAAACCCAGCAGAATCATAATGCAATCAACGTTATAGACAATTTTTTATTCGCGGAATAAACCTCTGTGTTTGCACAAAGGCATCAGGCTTGCATTACAATGACGACGTTTTTTTTTGTCGTTACTTTTGAATTAAAAAAAAATGTTCGCGTCTTCAACGTCCCTGTCCATTCGTAGAATC